TATAATGCTAACTTAGGCTTAACACCACCTCACTAAAATCTTCTCCCTCCAGCTATTTAAAAACTAACAAGCAGTTATAATATTACAGAAACAAAACATATAGGAGCCACTGCCTGAACTGACAGAGAATATTGCCAAGGGCATCCATCACCCAAGGGTATCGAAATTACAATCCCAGAGTTGCAGAATGCTAGACTTGCATATCTCAACTAGGGACAAAAAAGAGGAAAAGACTCAAGGATTGATCCATTTTTTTAATTTAAACTGAGAAACATCTCCACCTGCAATAGCTAACCACAATCTAACCTGACTTATACCTGGTGGTTTAAAAACTTCCCAATCCTGTCCCCACCTCCACCCCACACACCTCTGGTCAACCAGAGGCCGATCCTGAACACTAAACCTGCACTATCTACAGCTCCCCTCTGGATAAGCTTCTGACTAGGGACTGACCTCTCACTGGCAGTACCTTGAAAGAGCTCAAGTACCAATCATCAAGGCACCCTTCCCACGTGAGCCTGTTTGGCTTCCCAAGAAGTCTGCCTCTGTCTAGTGACAATGATTCAAGCACTCTCTGCCTTTTAAAAATACATAATGTCATACTGTATAGTTTACAGCAATATATACACTTATGAGTATTTCCCTATATACAAAGGCATTCAGAGAAAACTGAACTCTCCTCCACAACCTAAGTACATTCCCAGCAGCTGTAAGGATGAGAATTAAGGTTTACTTGAAAATGCCTTACCATGAAATTTCTGATTTGATGGAATAATCTCATTAATATGAAGAAAGGCAACTGTACTTTCTAAAGTGGGAACAGGCAGGTTGCAAAGATTCCCCACACTGAAAATGATTCTTTTTCCCTGTGTCTAGCTGTACTTACAGAAAGCTCAAATGAGAGGCTAAGATAATATACAAGGACTAAAGCCTACACCACTATCATTCAATACTGGCATTTCCTCTAAAACACTGTACTTTTTCCCCTTCACCTCAAAACATGACCCTGAATCAAGCAGACTGTCCTGTCCACTGCAGCAATGCTAGCCAGCTATAGGACACATCTGAGGAACAAATTCCCCAAACCGTGAAGCTAAGACAATTTATGTACAACTTTTGAGACATCACAAATCAACTATTCCATTAGGAATGGGGGGAAAATGAAACACAGCAATCTAAAACTTGAAACTTTATTTACTCATCACGAAGAAAAATTAAATGATTTCTCAAGTTCTCCAAACACAAACTGTAGGTTTCTGAAAACACGAAGTAAAACTGGGAATAGCTCAGCTTTAAACTGTGGGATATAATGAACTACAGAGTTTGTACAAGCCTTCACCCAAACACTTTTCAATATATGGACTCATTAATCCCTTGTGACAACCACTTGAAAAATTGTATGCAAGATGTTTTCTCCTTAAATTAAAATGAGGAAACCCAGACTAAGGGTGGCTCAGAAGTTCATCAAAGACAGACAGCTAAGAAGTTAAGGCTTCGGCAGACTAGATAGTCTGATTTCCAACTGATGCTCAAACATGGCCCTCATGAGAAGTATGAGATTTCTAATCTTTGCCCATCATTGCAACATCTTTATCTTTTAAGATTTACTATCTTTCATTTGTATTAAGCACCTAGATGTTTTACCAATGGAACTGTACATCATGAGTTAAACCATGCTTCCTGTATTTACCACACTCACAAAAACACTATAATCCTATTTATAACAATGCTTCTCTCAACCTTGTTCCTCGAAAATAACTATGCTCCCAATGATCAGCAACAGCAGCAATGGGTAAGAACAGGCTGTTTCAGCTATCTGAACAGTCTCATTGATGGACTCCTTCCTTACCTACTGTGGAATTTATCAATTTCAAAGAGTTACAGGCCACACAATTCACATCACACTAAAATACAGAACAATTTGTAACTGATTTACTAGTGTAAGTCCTCAGGATCATAAAGCTCTAGGGTCAGACTTATGAACTAGAATTACCCCTGGGCAGTATAGTGACTGTGGAAGGTACAGCAGATTCAGATGTATTTATACTGAAACTGGAAATTACCTCTTTAAAAATCCTTATAAAAAAAGATTAATCATTTGTCTTTTCCTGATAAATGAATGCTTACTTCAGCAGTGTGTGGAATTTTCACTATTTCTCACAAAATTAGAGTTGGTGAAATTCCTTTTACCAAATTAATTCTAAAATGCAATAGATTTAAATTAAATCCTCTACCAGAAAACTATTTCACCATTTGCCACTAAAAGAATGTTTCTTTGCTGTTTGTTTTAATCTTAAACATATTCTTCCCAACTCATAGATGAATCTAGTGTTTTATATTTGAATTTTAGTCCTTGATAGCAAAGCAATGACTTTAATCTTTCAGATTAATTGTGTAGCTACATCAGGAAAACTAAATGATGGTTTGGCTATATTATTCACCTGACACTTATGAAGTCATTTGAGAAGAATCACTCAATGAACCAGTAAACATGGGTATTAAGGGGTCATTTTTTCCAACTCCCCATTAGTGATTTTTCATTCTGCCTCCTAGTTACACTCCTTTATTACACTGAAGTAACCAACAAGCTGACTGCCTTTTCAGCAATTCCTATAAACACTTATTTCAACCAAAGGAGAAAATGTCATATAAAGTTTTGGTCCATCAGTTTTTACCATGACATGCAAGTATTTTTTTAAAAAGTACTTCTTATTCACTCAAAGTGTGAAAGCAAAATTGATCTATAGATAATTCAACATTAAAATTTCATTTAAGCGCTGAATCTAAGCATCTCCTGGGGGGTGGAGGAAAACTGAACTTAGGAGAGTTAAAAAGCAATACGACCCAGTTAAATCATGAATAGATTTGGGAGTCAAGAAGTTCTACACTGCAATATGGTAACCACTGGCCACAAGTAGCAGATTAAAATAATTAAAAGTAAATAATTTAAAATGTAGTTCCTCAGTCCCCAGTAGCCACATTTCAAACCCACAACAGCTTCATGTACCTGGTGGCTGCCATATTGCGCAGCACAGACACAGAACCATTTCCATCCATAAAGAAAAGTCTATTATGCAAGCTACTTTAATCTCTATGACCCTCAATACCCATGCCTGTAAAATGCCCATGACATCGCTGAAATTCAAAGAGTGTTATTAGAATTTTGATAGCATTTAAAGCACAACACAAAGAACTTATATATCCAAGAAGGAGTAGCTGTTATTACAATCCTATATTGGGTTTTAATCTCTGACGGTAATCCTGAACAAGTCACTTCCCCTCCCAGGGCCTCATTTTCCTAAAACTGAAAACTTTGGGAGAGTTCTGATTAACTTCTAAGGATTCTATCAAATTCCACCACGTTAAATGAAGTGCTAAGCAGAAGGGGCACAAACTCCTACTGAGTAAACTACTACCTAGGTTCCTAGAGCTTCCTAGCTGATCCCAAGCCATTCTTCCCAAAACCCCAGAAGACTGGCTCTGCAATATGGCCAAGGTCTGATGTGTGCTATTTATAAAGTCTGTCTTAAAAGGTTACCGGAATATCTTTCTGAAATTGTATATACTGTAATTAGAAGCTACAACCCCCTATTCCATGATGATATCTTGCAGTTTTACCATCTCTTTTAAATAAACACTATCTTTACAGATGAATTTTTTCTTTTAGAAGCACTTCAACCAAAACACTTTCAAAGCACATGCAAGTTTAAGTACAAATTTTAATGACTTTTTCTTAACCAGCTATGCCTCATTCAGAGTCAGCTTGTGGGTGACCCTCTAGTGTCTAAACAAAGTGAGAACTAGAACAGCCTCATGGGTGAAGTCCCCTTGCAGGGACAGAAACGTGTCCAAAGATTTTACCCTCACTAACAGCTGCTCCCAGGGAGCCAGGAAATTCACTTAAGACTGGGCCCACATAGCCCGCTTCCAAAAAGGGGGAACCAGGGCCCCTACACAAGGCACAAAACCAGGGTCATGGCTACTATCACCCCCCCCCACCGCCCCGTGTTGACCAGGCCCCCAGAATCACAGCTTTAACTTAAGAGTGGAAGAGGAACTCAGGCAGCAGAAATCAAAAGAGAGCGGTGTATTTTTGCCCAAGGCCTGAAGCCTCAAAAATAAGTGTTATTCCAGAGCAGATTCCTTTTCTTCCGGGTCCGTCTGCTCTCTCTGACTCTTTGCCCATAACCACTGTGCCTCCCCTTTCCCAATGCCCCACCTCTCTCCATACTTAAAAAAAAAAAAAAAAAAAATGTGGCTTATTCCCTCTCCCTTTGCTTTCCCGAGCAGGGCCTGGAAACTGGAGGAAATTCAAATAAAATTAACTGCACATTAAAAATTAAACAGACAAGCAATCAGGGGGTGCCCACCCAACAGAAGACGTCTCCCGTTCCAAAAAAAAAAAAAAACAAGAACAAAAAAATGATTACGTCTGAGTGGAAGAAGGGGAGGGAGACTAGAAACCTAAAAGGATGGAGAGATAAACGTGTGGATTTAGGGCCCTAGCGTCGACCCACCCTGGCCAAATTCCAAATTTCGTTTCAAGAAAATGCTGGGCTGAAGAGAAAAGAAAAAGTTGTAACTTTTAAGGAAGTCCGCAAACGGCACAGTCTTGGATAAAATGCCACTGCTTCCCTTCATCAAGGATGGCAGGGTAGTAGTTGAGATTCGAAAAGCTCCAACTCCAACCGCGCACTCCTCCTGGAAGCCTCCCCGCCAAAGGGGCCGCGGGGCGGCCCCGCTGCCCCCGTCTCCTAGGACACCCTGCTCGGGCGCTCGGGCTCCCACGGGGCGCCGGGACCTGACCTTTACAAAAGTTCGCGGACACAGCCCAAGGCCCCAATTTCCGCCCCGATGACAGGCCCCTCACGAGCCGGCCGGCTCCCGCCCCGCGACGGGCACCAGACGGTCCTCGCCACCCCTCCCGGCTGCCTCGGGGTTCGGATTCCTCCCGCCCGCCCCACCCCCGGCGGGGGAGCCCCTCGGGGTGACCGACTGACCAGAGTTACGCTGGCCCACACACCGGGTCGCCTGCTGCTTCCCGCCGCGCCCCGCTCCCCGGCCGAGCTTCCAGCCGCCTGGCTCGCCGAGTCCCGCCGCGGCCGCCGGTTACCGCCCCCAGCCCGGGGGGAGCCCGGGGGGCAGGACAGGAGGGAGGACGTGGCGCGCCCGGAGGTGGCCAGAGGCGAGGCGGGGAGTGTCCGGGAGAGGCCGGGCCGGGGGCGGGGGCCGACGCGGGCTCGGGACCCTCCCCGTGAGCATCCGCGGGTCCCAGGTCCCAGGCGGCCCCCGCCTGGCGCGGAGAGGCGGGCCCCAAGTTTCAGCCCAGTTCGCACGCCCGCCCTCCTGCCTCCACCATATGGAAATCTACAGCCTCAGAAAGTGACACGTCGAAGATTCCTCGGCCTCCCCACCCGCCCTCCCCCTCCCGGGCCGCGTTCCTGCTGTGGAGATTCCGGGAGGGGGAGCGGATTCCTAGGACAAAATCTGCTGGGAAGGTTGGGAAGGGCGAGGGTGGGGGGCAGGGAGAGACCGGGAGCCATTGCCCAGGGTTTTTTTTCCCCCATCAAGAAGAATCTACCCGTCTTTTTCCCTCCTCCAAGCCCTGGCAAGCTGAGGGGACGGGACGGGGACCGGAGCCCAGCCAGACGCGGCCCCGAATCGGAGGCCGACCCTCTACCGGGCCCCTTTTTACCAGGGTACCCCGGCGAGTGCCGGGCGCTCCTGCACTGTGGCGCCAAGTTTTCCCCGGGAAGCCCGGCACGCCCGGAGCGCTCCGAGACAAGAATGCACTTTGGAAGACTCGGCGTCCGGCCGGGGCTTTCCAGCGCGCCGGGACCCGGCGGCCGAAGCGCGGAGTCCTAGTCCCCTCCTGTCTCCGGCTTCTGCACGCCTTACCTTCCCTAGGGCTGAAAAGCGGGGCTCCGGGCGCGCCACACACCAGGTCGCCACGCCTTCCCAACCGGCAACCCAGAGGCTCCCCGCAGTCCGCTTCGCAGCTCCCGCCGCCGCCGCAGCCGCCGCCGCTCTCCTCCTCCGCCTCCGCCTCCGCCTCCGCCTCCTCCTCCTCCTCCTTCTTCTCCGGCCGCCGCCGCTCAAATAACTACCAGGAGGGTTTGATGGGGGATTCCGCCATGTCAATGATGTCGGGACCACATGGGGATTTGGGACCCGCCCACAACCGTAAACAACCGGGTATAACCGCAGCTACAATCTCACAGTCGCTGGACCTGTGGGAGCCTCCTTTACCCCTAGGCCTGCATCACTATCAGAAAGCTTATCTGGATTCAGCCAGACTAAAGACGTCTGAGGCTTAGAAATAGGAACTCCTAAAAGGCAAGGGCTGCACGTTCTGAAATGATCGCCGAATACCAATATAAATGCAGTGTTTGCTGAGGAATAATTAGAGCGAACACTCTATTACATTTCGTTATGTACACATCTATTAACTTTTTTTAATCCCCCACAACAACAATCTTGTAAGCTATTTTGTCACTCCCTTCTCTGTTTCCCACAGCATTTTTTTTCACAGGCTAACAGAGCGTGAACAGATTTTATTATATCAAAGTTAAAATGTCCATTTCCCCTTTTCAGTAACCAATGTGCTCTCACAAGAACAGAAACTGTTCTGTACTCATATATGTATTTCTGTATCTGTCAAACGACATAATGCATAGGCCACAGTAGGACTCATTAGAAAAGTATTGAGTTTATATTTATTAAATCAAATGTAATGTATCCTATTGTGCAATCTCAAAATGTTAACCAACTGCATCCCAACTGCATTCCACCCCTCAAATTTTCCAGCACGCAAGAGTAGCAGTTGTCCAAAAGAAGCCCTTTCTGCCTTTAGCTTCCCAGGTATTCTGAATAATTACATTCAGCCTCGACTATTAGGCTACAAAGCAGTGTTCAGTAGTGACCAGAGGTAATAATGTATTACTTTCATTGACCTAAAAAATAATAACAACCATTTATCAGATAGAATTATTTTACATCGTACTGTTTTAAAGCCCAAGGAACATAAAAGAATGTTGAGAAATAGTTCCTCTCCTTGTGGGATTTGCAAAACCTTTTTTGGCGTTGTGAGGGAAAATGGGGAATCCAGGTAAGTGACATTCTCTCTCCTAAGAGGCTTCTTTTCCCAAATGTACCCAAAGGGGCTCTCGAAGCCATCTTTCTAAAACATGGTTTCAATTTTAGTCATAGTCTTGCATGGGAAAGAATAAAAAGCAGTGGTCCCCCAATTCCTGAGCCATGTCCCCCAGCTGAATTGGCATGACTTCCAAGCTCACCTCAGTCCCTTTGTACATGCTTTCACTCTGTCAGAAGTACATTCCTTCCTCTACCCTATTTTAAGATCATTTACTCATCTTCGAGCTTCAACGAAAATCATTCCCTTCCTCACCACAGTGGTATAGCTCTTCCTGACAACTCCATAATTCTTCTTAGTTCTTCTCACATGCTCTGAAATTTTTATCTCTTCCATTTGACTGGATCTTGTCCATTTTTGTAACTCTTGCATCAGCCTAGCGTTGTGCTTTGAATTTAGTACACCAATATGGATATTTATTGAATAAATTAATTCTAAAATATGTGGAAGAATCTGAATAACAAGTTAAAATGGGCAAACTTCCAAGAGTGGAAGGTTAAATTCAAGTGTTGAATGACAAGCTCAGCAAAGGAGGTAAAAGTATGTAGGAAAATTCAGAAGACAAAATAGTATCAGCCTATTTCTTCCCTAGACTGAATTTGTTCTAATTAAGAAGAATCAATGTATACAAAATGCCTTAAAATTAAAATATTTAAATTCCATATGCGTGATCTCAGTGTTTTGTTTGTCTTCTTACCCTAACACCTAACACCAGCTTTGGCACAGAACAGAAACCCAGTGTAGATGTATACCCAATGTAGAATAAGGTTTGTGTCAGAGAGTCATGCTCTCTGAACCTCCTTGGGAAATGATGAAGACTTAAACCAGAGTGATGGTTCTGGAAATGGGAAGAGAGGCCTCAGCCCAAGGCAATGAGTATTATTAGCCGGTGTTGACATCCCAAGTCACCTGCCATCCTAGGTCCCAAATCATGAAACCATAGTCATAGCCATATGCTTTGCTCCAAAAGAAGCTTGGGATTTACTCGAACAAACAAAACATCCAAATAAAGATATCTGAAAGTTAAGGACTATAAGAAAACATACAGACATGTAACCCCTTTCATCGCCCAAGCAGTGGAGGCTGAGTCATATAAGAAAGATTTGAAGTCATACTTCTGGATCTCAAATAATTTGCATTACAACAACAAGAAAAATGCAACTTTAACATGCTGGAAAACATGAGCATTGAAACTATCATTGAAAAGGTCTCAAACCATTAAACTCCTGAATACTTCCGTAAGTCTAAAATTTTTTTAAAACTTAAACTTCTTTGTCTAAGATCACTGTGGCCAGGAATATGTAACATGTAGTAGATCCAGCTAGCCTCTCAGTCTCAATTCTTCCGCTGCCTATAGCTGGAGTTATTAGATCCTCACAGGCAGGCTCAGTCTTGCCTCTAATCTTGAAACCCAATCTTGACCTTAGATAGAGGGCATTAACTCTTTGCATCTATTTTTTGTTTCAAAGTCCTGAGCCAGATCTGATATGGCCTTCAAAATGAACATTGACAAAAAAGCCAATTAATCCTGTTTTGAAGAGTGTTCAGAATTGACTGCTGTACTAACGAGAGTAAAGGACTGCCACCTAAGTCAATGACACAATCTAAGAGCAACACTGCAACTCCAGTTAAACACAGTTCTCCAGAGCAATTTAACCAGTCAAAGCTGTATTTCACCTTCTTTTCTATTGTTCAAAGCAAGACAAGGGCAAATTGCAGCTCAATATGTGTATTTTTAAGTCATTTTAAACAAGAATATCTGTCCCACAGTTATCAGAACTATTCAGGAAGAACATGAATGACTGTCAGGACTCATAAAATCAGAGGCTTGATAGGGAACTAAAGGATATCAATGTGCTCTCCCTTCCAGAACAGTTTTTGCTCCCATGTCCATGACAGCTAAGCACCCAGCCCTAGCATGAACACCACCAGAAATAGGCACAAAACGCTTCTTACTAAGACAACCTATTGTCAACAACTCTAAATCGAAACAAGTCTGAAACCCACCTCCTTGCATCTTAATCCCACTGGTCCTGTTTCCGCCCTCTAGGGGCAGACAAAATAACAACAGACACTTCCCACATGGCTCCCCTTCCGGTTAATTGACCAGACTCGTCAGATGCACCCTGAAGATTCTCTTTCCCTGGAAAAAGTCTAACAAACTGAACTCTATATCTATTCATGTGTCTTCCAGATCTCTCTCCATTCTTTCCTTCCACCACCTTTGGGGGCCTACTTGTTCAACAATATTTCAGGCATGATCAGAACGCAACCACAGAGTAGTACCCTTTCCTGCTTATATTTGGACATAAGGCTCTTTTCATCACAGTTTAATATTGGACTAACTTTTAAGCAGTCTCCTCATCCTGTTAACTCATGCTTCCTCCGTGAAAAGTTGTTACGCTGGGCATGTATTAGGAATACACCTGATTCCTTAACTGACTTTCATGTTAAATGGTTGAATATTTAATTTTGTTAAATTGTATTTGTAAGTTTCCTTCTCACATTTCAGCCTACCTAGAACTTTCCGGACATTGAGTCTATCATCATACAGCCCTTCCCAGCTTTGTGACATTGGTAAGTATGACAAGTATGCTTTCCACATTGCCATCCAAGTCACTGATAAAAACATGAAACAAGACAAGGCCAAGGACTACCACTAGTAGTTTTTCTCCAAGTGGAAGCAAATTTAAGGCCAAGTTATTTAAAAAATTGTAACTCTGTCCATCACACGAACTTGCCCTGAACCACACAACCAGAAAAGAACAAGTTGTGTCTGACTCTCTAGATAGTCGTGGTTAGCGCTCTTGCCAACTCTCATACCTGATATACTCCTATGGACATTTTTTTTTTCTTTCTATGAGGTCAAGACCTCTGTATTATACCTGGGTCTCTTCACAACACATGTGCTAAATACTGTCTTCCTAAAACAAATTCAAAATTTTCCGTGTGTGTGTGTTCTTCACAGAGAAATAAAGCAAAGAAATATCTTTAGCTCCAGCTATATATTTCAGATACAAACCATTTTAGCCAAGAAAAGATTCTGAGATTTGACCAGAAAATAATGAATTGAAAACAGAGTAAACTTACTACAGAAGCAACTGGGTCTATTTTGCTTGTGTAGGGTCCAGTATTACACTTGAAATTGATTTTTATCTTTTGCGTAGATACCACAGTATTTCTTTTAGTGTCTGAAAGCATACTCTTTGGTATTTCACATGT